GATTTTGAAAATTCTAATCAAGCTGCAAGAACAAGCAAATAGAGATTATGCACAGTTGAAACCTCAAATTTTATCTTATGGGAATGATTTTCGGGCGAAACTCGAAAATATTCCCAGCATGCTCAATTGTTTGAAATAGATCGTAAACTTGTTAAAGAAAAATGTCCGAAATATTTAGTTACAATTTTTCCAGGAGTGGTTTTCAGCTGGTTACTTCGACAGATACATTCAAAATACAACGTGAAGTATTTCCCCTTTTGTCTAGTTTGTGCTGCAAATGGATTGACAGCAAGAGAGACGAATGAGCACGTCTGCAAATGATGAAATCAAGCACATTATTCTGCTGGGTTTTCGGCATGTCTCCGATCGAAAAGATTGAAGAGTGATGTGTAATTCTTCCCCTGTTTTATGGGTGATGGAGGTGTTTTTTACGTAGCTTCGAACAAGGGAAATAAGCACATATTCAAGCAAAGCCAGAAAAGGAACCATGGAATTCCTCATGAAATTCTTAAAAGAATGGCATAAAAAATCAGAAAGCCATATACCTTCCCAATAACAGACGCTAGAAGTAAACTTTACGGAGCAACTCCCAGAAACAGGCAACTCCGGAAATGTGTTTTGAACGTCAACTCCTTGAAAATATTTGTTCAAAGAAGCCCTTGCTAATGTCTCTTTAAAGCCACTGTCAAGAAAATATCTGCGTGCCAATATTTCCTCTGAGCTCAGTCTCACGGGTGTTCCAGCTAATACGTAAATTTATATTAAAAAATATAAATATAAATTTAAATTTATTTGAGGCAGTTCTCTTTGTTAAATATGTTGGGAATGTGTTGATTGCGATTAATTATTATTAAAAGTTGGCATTCTATGCAAGGAACTTCAAGGGACCAGAAAAAATCTTTATAGAAAGAATTTTGTTGCTGAGAAATCCTATAATAATATGGGAAAAGGATCCTACCCTGCAAATAATTTGGGCGTTTCAAAATGCGTTTTATACGCATTTCTAGCCAAAAATGCTATGCATTTCAAACCTCTCTATGTTACGCCTACTCGGGATTTTAGTTAATGCATACCTTATAGGCGTTTCAAAACGCCCTCTAGTTACAGCTAGGTATTTATCCAGGCATAACTCAAGTTACGCCTGGATAGGATTGATTATAATGCAGAATGTCGCCAGTATTATACTGGCGACAGAGATGTCTGTCGCCAGTATAATACTGGCAACAAACATGTAATGAGTATTATTTCACAGACTTTTTCAGGAGACGCGCATGAAAAAAGTTTTTAGTTTTTTGCTTTCAAAATGTTTATTTATTAATATTTTTTAAAATTTCAAATGATGTTATATGGAGAATTGAAGCGCGCGCAGATTAGATTCCATTAAATTTGTTACGAAAATAAGAATTGACACAGTTACAGGCCTTGGAACATTTGCCAACGGAAAATTTTTTGAAAAACCGCGTTTTACAATTTTTTGAATATCTCAAAAAGTTACAAACATTTTTTCATGTTTAAAAAAAGGAAATGTGCGCAACAAAAATGCGCATCCAATGAACCTTTGCTGCGACAGATCCGCGCTGCGACAAACTGGTGCGACAAACTGATGCGACAAACACAATGTTGCAGATTTTTCTGTTTGTCGCATCAGTTTTTTGCAATCGTTTTACAATTTTTTGAATATCTCAAAAAGTTACAAACATTTTTTCATGTTTAAAAAAAGGAAATGTGCACAACAAAAATGCGCATCCAATGAACCTTTGCTGGTATCTACTAAGATAAAATTGACTGTTTTAGAGACTGTTAAAGTTTTAAACTTGTCCCATTGGGCTTGTAATGCAAAAAGTCCTTTGAAAATGGAGAGGCAGAGGGACACAGAGGTGGTCGGACGGTTGGACGGACTTTTGTAGGACACAGCAGCATTTATTTACAGAGCATTTATTTACAGCAGCATTTATTTATAACATCATTTATATACAGAGATGTCTGTTGCCAGTATAATACTGGCGACAAACATGTAATGAGTACTCTGTCGCCAGTATTATACTGGCGACAAACATGTAATGAGTACTCTGTCGCCAGTATAATACTGGCGACAGAGTAAGCTACCGCCAGTATAATACTGGCAGTAGGGTACTCTAACACCAGTATAATACTGGCGACAGAGTAAGCTACTGCCAGTATTGCAGTGCAGATCTAGGGGTCCAGATCCGCGCTGCGACAAACTGGTGCAACAAACTGATGCGACAAACACAATGTTGCAGATTTTTCTGTTTGTTGCATCAGTTTTTTGCAATAATACAAAACCACAAAATATAAATTTTGATGTTAAAAATACTGTTAAAAATAAAGAATAACTTTAAAGAATGTAATGACAAACACAATGTTGCAGATTTTTCTGTTTGTCGCATCAGTTTTTTGCAATAATACAAAACCACAAAATATAAATTTTGATGTTAAAAATACTGTTAAAAATAAAGAATAACTTTAAAGAATGTAACAGGCTGGTGTTACAAAATACTCCATGCTACAAAGAAGGAAAAGCTGTAATGAACAGTTTTTGGCACTGTAACAGACAGGCATTTTGAAATGCCTATCTGTTACAATCCCAAATAAACGCCTGCCTACTACACTCAAGAAAAGCTCATCAAAAATGTTTAAAGTATAGGCATAACTACAGAATGCATTAAAAATGCATTCTGAACGCATCTCAGAAAAAACTGCCAGTACAGCAACAAAGAAAAAAAAAAGAAAGGCGTTTCAGAAGAAGCTGGGCATAACAGTGATGCATAACAAACGCATTTTTTAATGTGTAACTGTTATGCGCAGCAATACCTGTAACAAATTATTTGCTGGGTACGGGACCAAAAATTTTGTTCTACGCGGAGAAAATCATTTAAGACAAACTCGTTATCAAAAGAGTCTAGCTATATTTACAAAAAATTCCAAATGAAATCCAAATGCATAATAAATGCCAAACCTCGCTTCTGACTGCATCTAGATAACGTTCCCTTGTTCTCTTATAAGACTCTCTTAGTTTTTGGTGACAGTTTCAAAAATATTATAAAGTATACTTTTGAGCCATGAATTCAGAGAAACTCCAGTATTTTCTTGCTGGTCGTCACAATTCCGTGTTTGCGTACAGTTTACATTGCATGAAAGACATTCGTCATTTTCTTTCTTTTCCAATGTCGAGTATTGATGCATAATGAATGCATTTATTTTATATATGATGTGATTTTTCGTTGCCATGGAGGCAATTGTGATTTCATGGGATCGGCAGGGCAACTGAGATTAAACCTGACCGATGCTCATATCTGTCTATACTCGCAGGTGGATCCTCATCAATTTCTGAGGATCCCCGCGTTACCTGCGATCTTTTCGCCTTCACCCGAAGATCCCCATCGCATTTTTACCGAATAAAAAAGAAACGAAATCCAATTATCTCTCGGCTGCAATTCCACTTCGAGAGACTCGCTTTTTCTCTGTTTGATGGAATCGCGGGATAAGTGAAAAAAAAAGAGAAGAGGATCTTATCCTGATCTGTGGGTTCAAGGATTACCTTGGGGCTCTTCGAACACCTTTAGGGCAATACGTGAGCCAGGCGGAACGCTTAAAAGAAATATGTCTGGCATTCTGTGCATCAGTCTGTGAGCCCCTTGTTAAAAAAAAAACGTGCAGACTTCCATTTTTGTAATTTTAAAATACAGTACCGTAGTATGAATAAAAATTCTGACCAATATAATTGCAAAGATTCCAATTTTTAAGCGGGCTGGAACGATTTATTTTTTCAACTGTGGAATTGAGGCTAGAGTCACTCTTAATACTGAATTAATTAGACTTGATGAGGAAAATTCGGAGGAAGGGATGATTTTGTGATTGGGTCACTATATATAGAAACCCGGAAAAGATTTTGTTCCGACTTCAGAATAATTTTCGTGAAGCTCAATTCAAATATTTCCAGCATAACACAAAAACATCTGATAATATGTATCATTGAATTATTTTTTCAGCTTGATCTTGAAGAAATTTATCGTTTTTAATTTACTGCATGTTGCTTACTGCGATATTAGAAGAAGTCCGCATATGGTCTTCTTATTTCGAAAAGTCTGAACCATACGAACTTCAAGCGTTGAGCATTTTCAATTAATTTTCCAATCCATGATTTCTGTGTTGAAATTTCAATAAATATGTACAGTACTACCATATATTTCGAGCTGAATTTTCAATTCTTGGGTGAATACTGCAATTTTCTGGCTATCGTGTTGATTTTTTTTTTCTGCAGGACGTCTTCAGTGTGAACTGAAGGCTCTGTAGTTGCATCATTGTGGCTTAGCATGGATAAAAACGGCATTTTGAAAAGTATCCCTGTTAGAAAAAGTCCCCATATCTTTCTTTTACTGGGATTCATGAGGCTATTAGACAGTTGTAAGGCATTATAATCCGCTTAAGAATGCTTCGCGAAGGTTACGCCAAGCAAAGATACTTATTCCATGATTAAGATTCAGAGCTGTCTGATAATTTTTCAACTGTTTCCTACATTTTAAAAATGATCTTTTTTGAAAGATAAGCATTACATTGGCGATAAACCAATTTCGATGTCTAAAATTCGGGGCCTCCTAATTATTTGATGTACTGTAAATCTATACAAAGACCTGCTTGTGCAAATTATTTTTTTTATTTCTTTTTTGTTCATTTGAAACAAAAGTAAGAAGCACGAGGGCTACGGATTTCCAAAATTAATGTTGAGAACACACGGTCAAATTTCGCTTGTCACGATTTTTGTTTTGTTAATTATTATGCGATGATGGTTTAAGCAGATGAGAAGTGACCTATCCTTTCAGTTATTGTCTTGGCAAAATATGTCTCTCCCTTTTTCATATTGACCTTATATCGTGTTTATATAGGCCCTCAACAGTTCCATCTCCAGATTACACAACTGGTTTTTACGCATCTCTTCACTCGCCTGCTACTGAATTTAACCCCCGCGATGAGAGTCATTTATGTACAAAAAGGGACACACGAATGTTCACCACGAAGGCCACGTGTGTCCTTCCGGGCTTCCGGAGTGAGGTTACTCACAATTACAGATGGAACTCACTGCGAAGAGACACATGAGGAATGGTTGGGGGGGGGGGTGAGAAGGAGCTGGAGATCTATTGATTTACAAGGTGAGGGAACCAGGAATTCTTGAAAAGAGAGCGAGAGAGAGAGAGAGAAGAGGGCTGCATACGGCAGCACATTCTTCCTCAGGGTGCCCTGCGCCCTGCAGTCGAGTCCCAGCGGGATCCAGGGCCACAAGTGCTCAGCAGCAGCCGGGGCCGCGCGCACTTCCGCTGGTGTTGTGGTGGGTGCCGACGCGCGGGATACTGTCAGTATATTACTCTTTTTTTTTATTTTGGCCATCGCAGTCTGAGGCTTCTTTTTCTCGGCTTGGGATCCTGTATACATTGCATAACTCTACTCGATCCTGGGCCAACAGGTTCAACGTCAGTCCTCCCGATTTTCGTCGTTCAACGGTGAGTACTACACTTATTTTTTTTAAATTATGAAGTACCGTACTTCATTCAAAAAACTTCACAACATGATCTGTTCGACAGCTTCAATTTTTTTCTATTCCCCCCCCCCCCTTTTTCTTGTGTTGAATGGCTGAGCAGAAAATCCCCGCATAAATCTTGATCATTTTATATTTATTCATTTCCATTGGGAAGGAATTGGTCGGTTTTAAATTCTTAGTTAATTTAACTGTCACAATTTACAGAACTTTGCTGGGTGACCAATCCCGTAAATCCCCACTTCTCTTAAATTTTCCCGAGTAAAAGGAACTAGGAATGATTCAAAATATGTAAACGCATTGTTGATTAAAAATTAATATAGTCCAATCACGGTTACGTGACAGTGAACACAAATCGGATGAAAATAAGTTTACAATTCCCCGTTATTACTATAAAATATAATCTTAAGAAAATTTTTTCTCAATACCTGAGTTTTTGAGTCTTGTAAAAGTTATCGCTTTAACAAAATTCTCAACTGGGACCAATGATTTAATCTCCTTTTTACAGTATTTGGATAAGATTTATTGCGGCATAAAATTATATTACAGCGGGAAAATATTTCCGACTGAAAAGATATGTCAGTGAAAATTTGGTATGCCTAAAAAATTCGAGAAGGAGCCTTGCCAGGTGCACATATTCTAATTTCAAGGTACTGTGGAGTCCTGCATTTCCTCGAGTACCACGTAGCTTCAAATAATAGATGCAACTTGATTACTCAGCCTTAAAAATTTATAGAAATTCATCCCCGATGGGCAAGACGAACCTTTTTTCAAGTCCATAAAAATAGCAGAACTGGAGGAATTAGTACTAGTATACATAGAAAAATTCAATATAGGCATAAATTCAAACTGAACTACTTTACACGTTAACTTTTCTCGCTTTATTTCATCATCTGTCATTGCTGTTGTTCCTTTGAGTGGTTGTATTGCTAAAAGGTTGCCGAAGGTTTAGCATTTCTCCCTCCTGAATTCCCTTGCAAAATATTGCTATATTTCTCAGGATTTTGGAAAACGGTGTACCTGATATCCGCAGTGAGTGTGGTGGAAGTATTCGTCATGATAAATTATTTGAAAGCGAATCAATCATCAAAAGCAGTAATGATGTGTAAGATGAATAAATTCATCAAAAATGCCGAGGTACGCGTCATTTCTCCAGGATAAGATTTTTAAAATCCTACTTCTATTTTCAATGGCGAATGCATACATTTAATTAATTCATTTAATCATTTCAACTGTAGAAGGATTTTTGAAACGCAATTCAGCAATAGCAGGATTATGCAGAAAGGCCTTTGTTTCAATTATTTCAATAATACAGCCTCGTTTCTTGCAACCATTTCAGCGTTTAGATTTCCTATTGAAAATTTAATATGAATACATAAACCAACGTTTAAAAAGTACACGACGAAATCAGAATCCCCCTCATTGGAAGATTCTACAAATAATGCTTTCAACATACGCGACAGCTGAGCGGAGGCCTTTTTGCATAATTTTAGGAAAATTATTCCCACTTTTGTAAAGTCCTCTTGAAGTTCTTAAGAAACACGATTTTTCTTTCATATGCCTTCATAATGTACATGAAATCCTGTTTTATGGATACTAAAACAGAAGCACTGCCATGCTTTAGGAAGCCCTGTCACTTTGAAAGATCCATCGGAACTGCGACAAGCATGAGTTGCCTAAAAAATTAAGAGTAACGGACTACAAGTGATAGATAAGAAGAAACTAAATATTTTCTACAAGAATCTATCTGCTCGTTCGAATCTCCCTGTACGAACAATTCAACGCTGTAACCTGCAGCAAAGTATCCATATTACATACATTGTTTAGTAGCTCGGGAAACTTTCGGGGAAGGAAACATCTGCAGAGATATATGTGCTGAATCTCCTGGGATCGGGGTGAATACGTATAGTGAAGATATCCTTCTTTTCCTACCTTTTCTTTTTGTGTGAGGAAGATTGCTCTGAGGAATAGAGAGATAAATGGTGCAGCAAGATGGGATGTGACACAGAAGTAAAGCAGGGTTTGCAACCCAGGAACAGGGGTCGCATTGCCCGGGGTCATCGGGTGGTTCGCATCGTCGGTTCCATAGCAGTGAAGAGCTTATGTATGTAGAGAAAATACACGAACCCTGTTGCTTTTATGCAGGAAACAGTTTCATAAGTTGGGTTTCATTAACTTTTTGAACCCATTTCCTGAGTTGCCTGTTGATCTTGAAGATTCTTTACGAACAAATTCGAAATTTTAAACTCCTTTCAATAGAAATATTTTTCGGTTTTATAGCTGGACTGGTTTATCTGGTATTTTTGCAGTTTCAAAATTCTCAACGGATCTTATGTGTAAAAAATGTAATGATTGCTTGAGATTTTTAAATCAACTTTTACCTCTTTGGAAAAGATTTTAATATTTATTAATCTGCAATGCATATTCCGTTGCGTTGATATAAAAAAATTCAATAATTTTTGGATTTAAATAAGTTTAAAAAAATAGTTCGATATAAGGGGAAAAATGCACAGATGATTTCCGCGAATATGCTGTACGAAAAATCCGCTTTGGAAAATCATCCGTTTGTTGAAGATATATTCACGCTAAAGTCATCACTGAACTTCATTTTTTTCCCGTTTTTCTGAACCGGCGCTTAGCTTACATTGAACAAAAAATATTATCCTATCGCCAAAAATGGCATGAATTTGAAATCAATTTTGCTGAAAGTACTTTGTTCTAATGAGGCCCCCTGTCATCCAGACCTTCGCATTCGAATGTCACTCAGAAAGTAATTCAATTATTTCATCCAAGCTGAAAGCGACAGGAAAAACTGAACAACACAAGCAGCAGCAAAATATCTCGAAAAAAAATACCGTGAACTTTCTTTGCATCGATTGCTGAGTTCCATGGCCTTTCTGCATTATTCATTTGCATAATGCACTTTCCTCTGTGAGTTTCCTTGCTTAGTATAGCACAAGCAACACTATTTGCAACGATTGGCATCGGGTCGATCATCAAGCATGAAGGTTCATTTCGGAAGTCCTTTCCGTATACCAAAACGCCATTCAATCAATCAGTGTTATGCATCATGTCCGAATGACTCTTTGCTGAAAGCAGCCCGGGCTTTTGAAGGAGTGGTAAATTATACTACCGGTAAGTCTATGGAAAATAATGAAATGATCACTTCAGACGATTACAAAGGATAGAGAGCATAAAAGGGCTTGGTATCCTGGAATTTTGTAAAGGGCTCACTATAAAGTAAAATAATGCTACAGCAAAAATACTGTCGCAACACATTTTGCAGGATAACATTCTCAAGTCCCATAAAAAATCCCATACCTGTTGAGGCAATAATTATAACGAAATTCCCAGTTCCAGTGCAACAAACTGCTTTTTTTATTTTTTAGAAAGTGATTTGAATAGCATTGTGGGTATTATTGGTCAGGGGCTTATAGAAAAACGAATTCTTCGTGAGCATGAATGCAGAACGCTATAACGAGATTCCTTGTCATGATATTCTTCTGAAACGAATGAAATAGAAAAAAGGGTTGTCGACCCCAGTCGCGGGATAGAAAATTGCCGGCGTGCACCACGTCGCCCTCGCCGGTGACAGAGATCCATTCGCGAGAAAAGCAGTATAAAGCTCATCTGCCAGCAGTGAAGAGCCCAGCAGCAGGATGGGTGTTGGTTGCGACCTTGCCAGCAGCCCTTCCCCATATACGTGTGTGGCTCAGTCAGCAAGGCATAGTCAATAATGAGCTAACCAATGTGGCTGGCCCGTGGCGGGGCGGGATCGATGGGGATCGATGACCGTGAGGGATGAGTCCTGGCCCGGGATCTTGGCAGGGCGATGCCTCTTGCTTTGGCAAACTTCCTAATCTCCACTCGCGGATTATAGACTGGTTCCTGCAAATTCGAGCCTCAATCTCTCATGACAACATAAATCCGAAGGCATTGTTTCAATAACCCTGTGTCGCAAGTATAGGATACTTGGGAATTCCGCCAGGTGCTGCTGGTGCGCCGAATTTTCAGCATGCAAATGAAGGGATAGCGTGCGAAAGGGAAGACAATTGAAAATTATTTTGAATTGGGTAAAGTGCAGGGATGTCTCCTCATATCAACAAAACTTCCTAAGAACAAAAGAGACACGTGTAGCAAGAAAATTACTGGAACCTTACACCGAGACCCGAACTTTAAACAGTTTTCAAAATTACAAACCCATCCAGCAGTAATTTACTTCAAATACCAGCTCCTCATTTTCATAAATTAGGCTTTAGATCTGTACACAAATAATCTGACATAAGAGTTTAATAAATAAAAAATGTGTGCAAATTTCTGCAAATTACGCAAGAGATATGGAATATTCCAGTTAAAACCTATGCATTCTGTAGTCTGCGGTTTACAAGTTTTCGGGGAAATTTTGAAAATCGTATGTGCCAGATATTTTTGAATAGCCCCTTCAGCACGAAAAATTTTCACTGGACATAATATTCATTCGAATTTTGTTAAGCATGAGCCTTTCTGCTTTGTATATGATCCACGGGTTAATATCCTTTTTTCATTTTGTTATTCAGAAAAGTAAAGTTCCATTGGAAATAATTCACCTGTTCATTAAAAATTAATGAATGCATATTCGTAACATTGGATACCACATGCAATTATCTTTGGAAAGATCTCGCCATAGCTTACTGCATTATTCATCGAAGTTTTTATTGCAGTTTGTATCGCCAAGCAGAAGCGGAAATCGGGTAACAACAATAAATCATTTCTACGACAATGAATCACATTTTATTCTTTTGGAGCATTGAATTCGAACTGTGCTGATGACACTCATGATAGAGAATGGAAATACCCAAAGTAAGCTTAAAATATTTTACATTCATCGTAGAAATAATTAAGAACATGCATATTTTTTATGGGAAGAGATATCATCAGAACTTCCCGGGGTTAGGAAATTCAGAAATCTCCATCTTCTCCTTTTTTGCATTTCAATTATTTTTGTTTCTCCTGCCCAAATGCGTTGACAGCCGCGTTTGGGTTGACGAGGCACTCAGTATTATCTCCCCCCAACACAGCGTATTATTGTTCCAGGGCATGAGAGATGGGATTCTGGCGATGACAATCGTCAGTCGGAGTCGGGGACGCTTTCAGAAGGGCTGCCTAGATTGCGTGTTTTATTGTGCCCGCATATTTACATGGGAGTATGGGGCACAGGCAAAATGGTGAATTGCTGAAATGACAACGCGCTTTATCCCTCTCACAGTCTGGAATAGCGTGCGAGGGACTAGGCTTCACATTCATTACTTCTGGCCTTGTTTCTTATGTAATCCGAGTCGACTGACACACGTTTTTTCAGAGACAAAATTTGGTGAGGATACAGAGTTTTCCTGATTTTTATGCATTTATTTTTTTCAGCGGAAGATTCGAGCTCGTTGAGACCGAGGCATAATTTCAGCGTGTCTTCGGAAAGAGGCTAAATGCAATTTTTTATTTTTCGAGGGTTTCCAAATACCGCATCAAAAATTATGTATAGCATATACGTGATCTAAATGACTCACAAGAATTTTAAATTCTCTTTCTTAATTTGCAAATAAGGAGACGATTTGACACGTATATTTCTCAAGACAATCAATTTCACGATGTTGTAATGTAACTATGATGAGGATGCGGCATTTGAAAACCATTTGGACTTTCATTATTGGTCATTATTTAAACGTGATTCACATTTTTATTTACAAAAAGATGCGTAGAAGCGTAAATATAAAAAAGAAAGACACAACTAAAATAAATCAACGGAAATTCAATCATAACCTTTTAGCTGATGGTGCACTGGCTCAAATATCGATTGGATTTGCTCCAGAAAATATTCAAAATAGTATTTTACGGTTCAGGAAACCACAATCAGTGTCACTCAAATGTTTAGAAAAAGAGTTTCAACTGTTAAATAAAAAAATGATGACTGTGGCTCTTTTTTTTTACAATCATCTTGAATCGAACGAGCGAAAAGAAAAAATACAAAACTTATCGACACATTGATTTTTTGTCTCCTCGTGATGAGGAAGGAAGTTTCATGGAATGTTTGAAGAGTTGTTTTTACTGTAAATGAACTGTTTTTATATCGAAAGTGGGTTCAAATCGGATATAAGGGGGCTTATGTTGAGCCCCCACAAAACTTCGATCCTCTTGGTGAAAATCGCGGTGATATTATGACCAATTTTCGTGCAAAAATTGTGCAGCGTTTGCATGCTCAAAAACATGCCCAGCATGCGTTATGAAAGGAAAGTGCCATTCCTGCATTCCAACATTTAGAGAGAAAACTGCATTCAACATAACGCGGTAATGGATTCTTAAATATCGGGTAAAATTCTTCAGTTCAACTCTGCTCAAAAACTAACTGAAACCATAAACTATTCTCCGCCTATTTCCACTCATGTCATTTTTTTTTGTTGACACAGGGACAACAAGAGGCATCCATCCCGAAGTCCCAGGGGGAAAAAAATATGTTAGACTCGACAGTGACACGAGGTTGGATCGACTGAGTGCTGACGCGGAAACCGGTCTTATATTGCTGAGCAAATTTGACACCTACACCATGGAGTCAAGAGGGTTGACACAGTGGTTCTTGATGGTACTCATGATGGCGTCGACGCTGTTGACGCTGATGCTCGCGGAAGCGGCGCCTCGCAAGAACCGCCACCGCGTGCGCCACGAGCGGATCCGCGACACGCCCGTGATTGAAACATCCTTGGGACCTATTCGAGGCCTGTCGAAAACAGTGCATGGTAAAATTGTGCACATGTTTCTCGGGGTGCCATTTGCCAAACCGCCTGTGGGTGAGTTGCGGTTCCGCAAACCTCTGCCAGCCGAACCCTGGACCGACGTATTCGACGCCAATTCGCTGCCCAACAGCTGCATCCAGGAGTCCTACGAATACTATCCCGGTAAACTGAGTTTACTTACTTGAAGAACACTTGAAACTTCATAAGATGGAAATCTCAGACCGCTTTTCCCCGCAAGAAAGGATTCTTACGCAACAAACCCCGTGCCCTTTTGAGGAGATTATAAAATGTAATACCTACTGTATACCATCAAATACGACAGACCGATCTTCAAGAAGGAAAACCCGAATTATTTGAGAGATTTATTGGCACAAAGTGCGTAACTTTGATGTTTTGGTGTTTTTTTTCTTTCTCTTATGCTACTTTGTGTCATTTGATGTGCAATTTTACTTTCTTTAAACATCTTCAGCGAATTAAAATAATGAGGATGAATCCTGAGAGAGAATTTTCTTAGAAAAGCTTTGCCCGTTTAAAGAATTTTTTTAATTTCCGGTCTATTTGTATGAAAACGCCTCTCTTTCAACAAGCGCCTCATATACAAGGAAGCACTTCTTTGAATCAATTAGGATCAAAAGTTACATGTTCGATTTTCGATAAAAAAAACTTTTTAAGCTAAATTTATGTTCGATTCATTCAGGTTCATCAGGTAATCAGGTTATTCTAGATTATATACGACTCTAGTAAAATAAGCAAGGTAAAATTACAAATAAAAATAATCGCATATATACTTGATACGAAATCTTTCGATAATAATGCTTAAGCTTGATCATTTCAATTTTAACTAAAAAATTTTCGCTATCTTGAAATAAAAGGGGAACTTGATTTTCTTCCAGGATCACGAGGCACTGTTTTGAAATTATGGTTTCTGAACAAGTAATTACATCAATTATGGCGTAGTAGAATAACACCCGCGACCAACTGCTATTCTCAGCATGCTATTTCAGTCCGTGTTTAAATTTTGTTCGTCGAAAAAAATGTTCGATGCATGACTTTTTACCTCGGAAAAAATAAACGTCACGATAACAAACTTTTCCCCCGGAGATTTCCGTGAATATGTTTTACGAACTCTTAAAATCATCGGTCGAGATACGAATATTCGGATGCACAATTTTCTAATTCTTTATTATATTGTTCAAGTCACAATGACGACCTACTTCTGTCATCTCGCTGGAACCCCGGTTCTACTGTTTAAAATATTTTATTTTTTAGATAATCTTATATCTGCTACTTTTTTGCAAGCCCTGATGGGTTCTACTTTGGGTAGTTTATTTTTTATGACTGCCATTGTTTCTCGTCGGGTTCCAACCCAGGTTTCTACGGAGAAGAGATGTGGAATCCGAACACAAATGTGTCAGAGGACTGTCTGTACCTGAACCTGTGGGTGCCAGACGCAGTGCTGGTATCAGCAACATCCTCATCATCCGGGGCAGCATCGCCTGCAAATGGCAGTGCAGTGCTTGCCTGGATCTACGGGGGTGGATACATGAGCGGCACGAGCACCTTGGATGTTTATGACGGTGACATCCTGGCAGTGACAGAAAAGGTCATAGTGGTGTCCATGAATTACCGGGTGGGGGCATTGGGGTTCCTGTGTCTGGGCATCGAGCAGTTCCCGTGCAACCAGGGACTCTGGGACCAAGCCCTAGCTCTCACGTGGATCCAGAAAAATGTGGCCCGGTTCGGGGGAAACCCGGATCTGGTAACCTTTTTTTCTCTCTCTCTCTATCTTTGTTTCACTACACGACTGTGTCTTCTGCCATAGCATCAAGTAATTTACAATACTGTAAATGAAACTATATCTGATGCAGGCTTATAGAGGACCACTAAGGTAGATGTACATTTTGTAGAAAGGTTACAACAATTTTAAATTAATTTTATGTATTTTATCTTATGATGTTGAATTTTCCCAAAAAAATTATATATATATTTTTTTTTATTAAAGCACGAATTTTTCTTATTTATTGCTATATTTTGTTCTACAGTATAGTTATTTTGTTGTCGTTAATTTTCCAAATTTTTGGGAGATCAACGAAAACTAAATTCATTTTCATAACTGAAGGATAAAAGAGTCAGTTCTGATTCGGAATAATCCCATGGCTTCTAAAAGGATAACTTCGTAAAAAAGAAGTTCCATCAAGTTAACTTACTCCTTCACGAATCACGATAGAAGTTATTTATAACCTCTCATCTGGAAGCTTGCTCTGAAAGTTTTGCAGAGTTGGAAAACTTTTTTCTATATTTGGCAATCGGCTTGACTTTTTTTTGCGCCTGACGGTTGAATACGACACTTTATTATGTTTCGGATTTTGGACCCAAATGAAAGCTGGCACATGCAAAGAGGTCAAGAAATTTTCACGAGTATTTCCCGCTTGAGCTAATCCTTGTTCAGTACTTACTTGTCTCTTTTTTGCGCAAAAACCATATATTCTTAAATAGTTAAACGAGTTTTTTCAAGAAAAATTGCAATAAATTTATCATTAATAATAGGTGGTCCTCACTTTGGAAGAATGCCTTGAGCTGTATTCATATATCTACCTTAAAAAGACAGATTAAACCTGCCTACAGGAGAAGCCTCACAATATCTAATTTTTCAAGATTAATTTCGAGGATGTGTTTCCAGTTTTAACTTTTTCAGAAAATCGTTGGTCGCCCAATTTTCGTGAGAAAACATTGCTTTGGAAGGAAATCAAAAGATTGATTAGCGTGATAGATAAGAATCAGTAAATAGCGAGGGCGGAAATTGTTCGAAACATGCACTACTACATTTTTGCCCGACAGGCGCCAATACTGTGAAAAGTTAATACTTGGTGGGGAAAAAAATTGCCTTACGTTGGCATTAAAAACGCAGATTACGACTGCTGGAGAATAAGCATTGCCATTTTTAATGGCTCATATGGTTTATTTCGAATATCATAGTCTTTAGTTACAACTTCTTGAAAAGCTTTTTGATCACCTAATTGGTATTGGAAAATATTCCTGCGAAAGAAAATAAAAAGATTGATCGGCATGATAGATGAGGATCAGTAAATAAAGTGGATGAAATGCTCGAAACATGCGCGATTACATTCCCGCCGTACACACGAACGCCAGCAATCGTGTACAGTATGCAGCAGAAACCTCAGTGCCCTTAATTATGCACTGTGTATTATTGCAGGTAACCGTGTTTGGTGAGAGTGCAGGTGGGGGCAGTGTTTCCAGCCTGTTCCTGTCACCATTGACAAGGCACCTGGCCAAGAGGGGCATCATGCAAAGTGGTTCCCTCAATGCACCTTGGAGCTACATGACCAAAGCAACAGCCAAGCTGCGCTCACTAGCAGTCGTTGACTTGGTTGAGTGCGACTCAAGTCAGGTAAAAACACGAGAGGTTTTCACTTTAATCTCAATACTGTACTTTATTAGTGTACTTAGATTACCCCAACAATTACAATTTTAATCCATTTGAAAAGTCCTTGTTCACCTCGACAAATGAATGTTTTTTTTCAAAATATCAATCAAGCCCGAAGGGTGGAATTCAGAAAAAAATACTACGAAAGAATAGTCTATGGATTTACAGCATTTTTAATTTGAAAATTATTATTATTATTATTCATTAACATAAGTCAGATTAAAATGTGGACTCAAGCAATTAATTGTGAACTTGAAAGTCCTTTATATAGCGAGTATGTTGATGAGTTTCACTCAAAATTTTCTTTCGAAACGATGCCTGGCGGACTTCCAGCTTAAAAAGTCCTTTTTTAAACTCTGTTGACGGATATTCTTTGAAAAATTGCAATCAAGCCTTAAGGGTGAAATTCACAAAAATAATACGACAGAATATTATATGGCTTTACGGAAAATTTAATTCGTAAAACGTTTTTGATGAAATTGTAACAGAACGAAGGCCTAATATGTCATTACCATAAATCGCAATTTTAAATCATTCTTTATTATCCGATTGAATTGCAGGCAACAAGCCCTGAATTATGGCATTTTAGAATTCACGCTGAATTGTAAAATAGCGTATTTACCCGAGTACCACTTGCCCTCGACTCGAGTAAGACACGCACCAGAGATTTCCGGTCTAAAATTTTGATTAAATTGTATCCCCTATAGTAAGACGAGCACAGTATTTTTAAAGACTCTAAACTGCAATATTTTAAAGATATAAGAACACCCAAATTTGAATTTAGACATGTAATGAACCAAATTTCAACTAATTCCCAGATTTTTTCATAAAAATAAGTTTTTTTTAATTGATCCAGAATTTCACATTAGCATCAAGTGCAGAAAAGTGCACACCTAAACCATAATTATTTTTAAAATTTGGATGTAGCCCGCCCCATACGACACGCACCTCATTTTTTCCTCTCAATTTTTAAAAGAAGAAAAACGGTAAAATCAAGTTTAAATACGGTAGTTTTCAGTGTAGAATATCGTCGAAATAAGTACGAGCAAAATATGGACGCAGGTAATGATTTTTTTTTTAATTGCGCAGCACTTGAAAGTAACAATGTGGATTAGTTTCACTGAAATGTGTCCTCTGGAAACAGTTCCTGACGGACTTCCAGTCCATGTACACCTGCCTGATGGAGATGCCGTCCAAGAACTTCTCTGTGATGCAGTGGTACGTGTACGAAGTCGGAATGCGGTTTCCGTTCAGCCCGACGATAGACGGAGTCCTTCTGCCCAAGTCACCGGCGGAAATGCTGCGGGACAGAGACTTCAAGAAGACAGAACTGCTGCTCGGCAGTAACTTGGACGAAGGTTCGTGTATTTGCACTCGGTTTCTGCGTGTCCCTTCCCTTGCTGAACACTGTCGAGTAACTTCGTTTGTTCAATTATGCAGGGTCCTATTTTGTGCTGTACGACTTCTTCTCCAGCTTTAACAAGGAGGAAGCCACGTTGCTGACTCGGAGTCAGTATGAGGTCATCATGCGGAAAATCTTCAAGGACTTGGACCCACTCGAAATTAGTGCTGTACTATTCCAGGTAATAAGAAGACTAATCAAGCCCGGGGTTAATTTAATTTAATTTACCTCTCACGTTTATGTTAGAAGAAGAAAATATGCCATTTTAATTTTTTTCTTTTCTTTCCGTGTGTAGTTTTCGGTGTTTCTTTTTCACCCGCTTGAAGTTCTAAACTCCTACAGTACTGTTCTTCAAAATCGAGTCTATGTGTCAGAATAATTCAAAAATCATGATTTAGATAATTGCTAAAAATTCTGCAGAACGAAAATATTTTTTAAATCGAAATTCTCAAAGAAAACATTGAAGTTGATAATGTGGTGCGATGTCTTCTATAATCTGCGGATGGGAAGAACTATAAGGAATTTAAATATTTTTTGCATGCAGAAAAATAAATTGTTAAATTGATTCTTCTTTGCATGTTTATAGTACACGGACTGGCATGAGCCCGAAAATAGTCGCAGCAACCAGCAGATGATTTCTGCAGCTGTAGGCGACTCCCTACTCGTCTGCCCCACCAACTTTTTCGCACAATCCTTTGCAGCCGCAGGCAATGACGTCTACTACTACTACTTCACCTGGGTTTGTGCTCAAACGTACCCTATTTCTCCTCTGCTGAAGGAATTATGATTTCACGTTTTTTATTTCAACAGAGAACAGCTGCGCATCCTTGGGGCAGCTGGATGGGAGTTTTGCACGGAGATGAAATAGACTACGTTTTTGGCCATCCACTCAACAAGTCCAAGGTGTTCACCAGGGAGGAGAAGGAGCTCAGCAAGCGTGTCATGAAGCACTATGCCAATTTCGCCAGGACGGGGTGAGCTGATGATGACGATTCCAAATATTTTGGTGTGCAGTGTATATACTGTGCTTGCATGTCGAAGTTTCGGCGAGGAAAACTTTCCAATGCTGATGGCGTCCCGAAAGTTCTCTCGAGATATATAGAGTCATTTTCGAGTTTCAAAATAACTGCGGCATCGCAAAGTTTTAAATTCATTGTTTAAATCAGTGTTCCCCAACCCGTGGTCCGCGGACCGGTGCCGGTCCGCAGACATTTTTGCCGGTCCGCGGGGAAATTTCTGCAGCATGATAAATTTATAGAAGGTAGTAATGAAGCTTGCTATCGTTATTCGAAATTTCGGAAAGACAATCGCAGTTGAAATTATCTCATGATAAATAAAAGTTGGCGTTTCTCTTAGTATAACGCTTCAGACATATATAGCTGAAGTATATTATCTCAATGCTTAAATATATTATTTTAATGCTGAAATATATTATTTTAATGCTGACATGTATTATATTAATGCTGACATAAATTATTTTAATGCTGAAATATATTTATTAAAGTTTTTCATCTGATAAGCCTTTCTTGAAGTCCAACTTTATATTTTTTAAAGACATTCCATTATATATCTTCTTCATTGGTTCTTAAATTAAATTTTCGCAGGACTTCACGGCAGGTATTTGAAAATTTTCTGTTGGTTTTCAAAAATTGTATGGAACTTTGCCGGTTTGCAGAAAATTCTATGAAAATTTGCCAGTCGATCCACCGAAGATTTCATTAAAAATTGCTAGTACGCAGGCTTGAAAAGGTTGAAGAACACTGGTTTAAATGTTTGTTCAGAAAACTGCGATTTTGAAACAGTTTTTGTCAGCAACATTGTTTCAACTGTTCGAGCTACCGTGATCAAAAACCATTTTCACTTGATGCCATTACTTTCCAAATTATGCAGCTTATCGTGGTTTTTCTAAAACACATTTCTTTCCTGTTGATTTTTTTCTATTTTAAGGGGTTTTTTGGTTTTCTTGAATTTGCACGCCTTCATTTTCTGATATCTTCAAGCAGCTGTAGACAGGCTAGATCATTCCACGGTTGAAAATACTGCTGCGGGGTTTTCATAAAAATCGAACTAAATTTTTGCAGAGAAATCGAGTTGAAAGACAATGATCTGAAGGACGACAGAATTGTGCCCTTGGTAAAAAAAAAAACAGCAAGGCAAAATGCTTTATTTATCTTCTGAATATTGTATTCATGTTTTTCAAATAATCAAAATACTGTTGAGATTCTTCTGCTTAGATGGTCGTTGAAAATTGCTGAGCACTTCTAAGTAGCAATTCTTGAGGCAAGTAATACCCAAGTTCCGTGATTCCCAACAATAATATGCAGTACTGTACAGTACTTTCAATGCATTGTCAAGTTGTTGAGTGGCTTTACTTCATATTATTGCATTTTACTCGGAAAGTTCTCCGCGAGATAATCCTCAGAAGAGAAAAGTATGGAGCAGTTCCCCCATACTCCGGAAAGACAATGCTGTTCGTGCTTTGTCGCTCTTCTTCGTCACATTTGTCACATTGACGTCCTATTTGTCAATGGGAAAGTTTTGAGACAGGTACTCATCTGAGTTTTATCCTTCTATCGCCACTTTTTCGAAGTTATGAACGACAGAATGGGAGGATGCCTGAAGCCGGAGAATTATTTTGACATTCGAGGAAAAAAATTGCGAAAAGAGCGTAGGATGCAAAACAGATAAATTTGGACTTCAAATGAAATTTCTCCACTTTAAACTCGCATTAGTTTTTTTGAAATTTTGCACGAGGAAAAAAACTGTCAATGGTGAATTGCGTGGGTTTAAAACTTGATAATGAAGACTGAATGATGCTTCAACGCAAATTAATGATTAAAACGTATTAAAAATTCCTTCGTCGCGCTTCTTTGTTACATATATTTGTAAAAGTGAAAGTTTCGAGACTGACCATGCATACAGATCTTTTGTATATATCCCTCGATCTATCGAATATTTTTAAAATTTTCGTCAGACAAAATGGCGCAATGTCCAAAGCCCAAAGTACTAAGATTCGAATCCCGCACTTGCGTGTTTTCGTTCCTTCCTCTTTTTTTTCATGCTTTATGGGGAGCGTGTATTTTGCGACCTTTCAAGTTACGATTAGTCCAGTTCAGTTCAGTTGAGCTAGTGCAGGAAATCCCGCAAACCGGAAAGGGAATTCGGAAATTTCCACGGAAAACAAAGGAGTCTCAGCAGTTTATCGCGCATCTTTCGTTCCGTCTGGGACCATTTTCTCCTCTGCTGGTCGTCGTTGGTTGTCGATAAGGGCGAGTTCACTGCGCCCTACGGTGCTCCTGAGGCAAACAGGCAGGCACTCAAGGGCATTGCTTTCCCAGCAGTTGACGACCCTGGAAAGACCCCTGGAAAAAGCAGAGAGGACAAAGAGACGAGGGGGGTTGGGTTTGATCGATACCCAGAGGGTGGGGGGGGGGGGGGGGTTCTCGTCGGGCTGCTGACAATAATACATGAGACGTGATGCGAAGCAGCAGCTCAAGGTCGTCGCTTTTTCTTTTTTTTTTTTTTTTCTTCCCGAACATGTATATAGGGACCCGTCGCTGGACTCGGGCCCGGCCTGGCCCAAGTACACCCGGGAAAACCCGGTTTACCTGGAGTGGAATGCGAACCGGACCGGCGAGATCGGCAAGGGACCCCGGGCCAGGGAGTGCGCCTTCTGGAACGAGTTCATGCCGCATTTGCGGGTCGCCCACGACCCCGAGGGCCAGCGTAAGTTTTTTCCTTTTACCCCCTCCAGTATATGTGTAGCAGGAACGGCCCGAAAATGTGCGCCATTCGTTTCATGCACAGAGCGCCGCCCCGAATCGGACGCCAAATCCTAATAAGCAGCACCATTATGAGAGTTTTTTTCATTATTTTTATTCCTGAGATTTAGCAGTTTTCTGATGATACTGAGTAATAGAGGTAGAATTGTCTGCTCATACGGATGGGCTCTCTACCATAAAATTCAAGGGATAAAATTTTTTTTTTAGAGAACCGCTATAAATTGGGTTGCTTGGTCCCATGACATGCTATTATGGGACCGACAAAAAAAAATGTGTTGTGCAGACTGCAGAGGAAATTTTTGTAGACAAGATTTTTATAATGAGACGAGTCCAGCTGCAAAAAATTTTCTGGAATGGAAATACAGTATTTTTGTTCATGCAGTCCCTGTTACATGAAATCTCTGTCGAGATACTTTTAAATAAATTATGTGACAGCAGGTATGCGACCTCAGCGGGAATAAGCATAACAAAGTAATTTCCCCTGAAATTTTGAGTTTCTCTTTTATGAAAAATTTTATTTCTAACAATTAATGCAGCTGATAATTCTCACAACTCGAGATATATTGCGCCTAGTCTGGGCTCTTTTGAAGATAAATATGTCAAAATTATTCGCACGTTTTTTCACAAATTTCGAAAATATACTTCGTTATAAATTATTTTTTTTCATATGCGAGCCTCTCATTTTAATTGAAATTTTCCAGTGTTTTGACATTATTTTAGCGATGAATTTGTGAAAATTATTATGGGTTCAACTGCTCCCAAGAGATGAATTTTTCTATGTTTTGCGTTACTTTTCGAATATACGGGTCGTGAATTTGGTAGTCATAATCAAGCGTAGAATAACTGAAATATCAGTAATTTTACGCTCAGTCTGTAGGCGCTCAGTTGGGCGGTGCTTGAATGGCCTTGGCGCTCACTTGACCCTGCTGCTCCATTATGTTTCTCGTAGACTCGATCGCCCAAATCACGAACCCCGACCCACGTTATCAATCCTTGTCGACCGCCTTTTCTATTTAGTTCAGATGTGAGCAGGAATTTCCTACAAAACAGTTTTTCTCGGGCTTCCGTGAAAAATGATTCCATCTCTTTTCGGTCGGTAAATGTTCACCATTGAAAAACGATTGCAACCCACGGCAAAATGCGATATCCTATGGCTATAATAATGTTATCTCAGTACAGAATGAGTATATCGGTTCTGAATTCCTCAAGACTTTAGCTGCTGGCAGTTTGATAAGATTGTTCCAGTTTCAATAATACTGTACCACCATTATCTTTCCAGTCATTTCCTGGAAAGACTGGAATCGTCGAGTCCCGACGATCAAGTGATATAGTTTCCTTCAATTCTCTCCAATTTGTTGAAAATTCTAGAATAAATATACTGCACGTTGTGATTGGTGATTTTTTTTTTCTTCCGGGATATTAAGGTACGCAAAAAATATGTCGATTCCGAAGAACAGAAAAATTCAAATTGCAGGCATTGATTTCAAAAAACTTTCTGGAAAACTTTTGCCTTTTTAATTTAGGATTGGTCCACAGCAGAATTTGAAGATTAACTTCACGCGCTTTAATGATTTATTATTTTCTACTTCTAAATATTTTTGCATAAAAATGCATTCCAATTTTTGATGCGTTGATTCATTCAATACGGAGATCATTTAACGAAATTTTCAATTTATCGTCAGAGTACGGTATGTGAAATTTGATCACATCCGTCGGGAATTGCATACTTTTTTGAAAAAAAGAGCAAAAAGGTACTGTGATTTAAGGAACGAAATATTGGAATATATTTCCACTCAATGTTTTGCAATTTTTCATGAAATAATCTTAAAAGCCTAGCTCATCTACATCTTAAAATGCGTCTGAACAGACAGTGTACACTGTACATAGTAATATTCTACAGAATAATAGTACGAAAAACCGTGAAGCGTCAAAAAATTAATTTGGCGCTGTTGAGCAGCTCTACCAAGTCGATAAAAAAAAATTTAAAAAGCGCAGAGCGGAAACTCTGCCTAGTTACTGACTTAGTTTATACTTTTGGGTTCCTTTACCACTAATTTGAACGGTGATTTACCTGAGGAAGTGTGTGAGAATGGTTTATTAAGTAACAATGTGTGAATCATGTGAAGGATGGTATCTGCAAGAAATACTTCATCGTGAAGTACAGTACAAGCTCATTAATAATCTTAAATTTTTTTATGCAGCGAGATGCGGACTGCAGACAGAAATTCGGTCGTCGGACAAGTCGGCACAATTGACTGCTAGAAGTTCTACTTTCCAAACGCCGGCTGCTAGCCTAATCGTGGCTTCAGTCTGCTTCGCCTCCTTGCTGAGAGCGAAGAAGATAGTAGTTCAAGTATAGAAGTCGAGCGACATCTGTTTCGCCAAATCTGACCACGTGACCCTGGCCTTGCCGGGCACATCGCCACGAGAGGACGCTGTCTTTCGCCTTCAAAGGCTTTCTTTCCCGTCTTTCGCTCGAAATTTTTTGTACGCAAAAATCGTATTTAGGCAATCCCGCAAACGGGGTGGGACGCATCTTACCCTTTATTGCCTAGAGGAGGAAAGAAAACCGCTGCACTTTCATATCGTCAGAAGCTTGTCTTTCGGTCGGGATCCCCGGCGAACGTTTGAGGATTAGACGTTTTACATGCTTGTTCTACGACGGAGACGTTGGAGTTTGATGAAACCCCTGTGAAATGAGTGGCACTCGAGTGTTTTTGTAACTATGAGCTGTGAGTTGTAAAAGGAGGAAACAGAGAATCCGACTCGTACGTCCGTCATCGTCGAGTGGTGGTTGGTTGGTGAACCAATGAGTATTTTGTTGGCGTTCGCGCATCTTCCCCCACCCCGTCATTACTTGGGTATTTCTACGAGTCTTTCGCTGTCCATCGTAGTGGGCATTTCACAAATTTCTCGGCGTGTCGCGCACGACTCGGCAATGTAGGGACGAATGTTCTGACCACTTAGCAAAGGAATAAAACGATGATTGATTTCCATAATGATTCAATTTTTTCTTTTAAAAAAGACCTTTCGAAATATTCGCCATCCGCGTTCATTCATGGAATGCCGTGAACCGCACTCCGAGAATAATTTCAAAAGTTCTCTAACAAAATTAAAATCACAGGTTTCTCTTCATGCATGAAATAACTCTAATTCCAAATACAGTATATTCTACAACACAACCACATAGCTTTTTGGTGCATTCGATCTGATATTGGCGCAACTTTAAAGAAAAATGGAATTCAGTCAATTCAATGGATAAGAAAATAAAGATGGACTCTGAACAATTCATGGGATGAGAAAGAAATTCGTTGTAGAGAACCCATATAACATGGGGAGAAAACCCTCCGGTACCGCTGGGAAATTTCTGCAGCATGATAAATTTATAGAAGGTAGTAATGAAGCTTGCTATCGTTATTCGAAATTTCGGAAAGACAATCGCAGTTGAAATTATCTCATGATAAATAAAAGTTGGCGTTTTGTACCCCAAAAAAAAAAAAAAAAAAAAACGTTGTACAGAGTCCACCTGTATTGTTTTCCTCTTTTGGAACCACCTTTTCCAACTTCTGATTTATATCTTCCGTATTCAAGAGATAATATTACCCAGTTTTGTCACCTTCTTTATTGTGTATCGGGGAAGTCTGAAAACTTCGAAAAAATCAACTTGAAATACCGCATTACAACACCAAACATGTTCTGGCGTATGTTCGGCTCAGTTGCTGGGAAATTACAATGCCTAAAAACCACATAAACACAAGATAGTCAAAGTTTCATCCAACACGGTACAAAGAAAAACAGAACAGGTCAATTGGTTCAGTCAAGGTTTAATCTTCCCTGCCCGTCATATGTACGTTAAAAAGTAAGAACAGATATACCTTCAACAAAACAAGGCACTCATTATTATGGCATATCTCATTTGTTCTGCACTTGAAAATTGTTCCGAGTGGATAAAAATATTCTCTTTTTTCATCAGTGGCCAAGAGCAACGATGATGAGCATTAAAAACATGGGCAGACACATGGTGGCAAGCGGTGGGCAACCAGAAATACGCTGGTGATGATGATCATCATCATCATCGTGCTCATGCGTATGATGATTGTCATGATCTCCTTGATGCACATCCACGTTTGCTTTGTAGGCTGCCTCTTTTACAGCGAACACCCGCGCAGGGCCACCAGACCCACCACGGATTTTATAAGGTAGAATAAAAAGGGTAAAATCACTGGGTGGGATCTCGTCTAGATGGGCCACATTCTCAATGCCGAAGAGCCCGGCACTAGCAATAGCCCGGTGGGCCGGGAAATGGGTGGAGGACCCTGCGTCCAGAGACAGACCCTCGGTACCAAAACCGACGACGTCCCGGTTGCGAAAAAGCCAGTCAACGACGGGTTTATCGAAGCCCGGAAAGTTGAATGATTCCGGGTCGCCGGGCACTTTAGACCCTACGAACACTTCTGGCCCTTCGTCCCATTTGTCAGCCCAACCGAATTCAAGCAGCACCACGGCACCTTGGGGCACTTGACCATGGCGCTTCTCCCACTCCTCCACATCCGCAACCGTGAGAACAGAGTTGACGTCTTCTGCTGCTTTGTCTTTTATGCTGAACTTCACACCAGCTGTCAGAAAAATGATTTTGTTCAAAGATCAATTTCATCTTCAATCCACTCCTTTCCATGGAGATCAAGGAACAAAAAATTGCGATACAGTATCGGTAAAATCTCGTTACTAACTTTTCTTCAAGTCCTGACAGAAAGCCTATAGAGCACATGTGAAAAAACCTCGTGAAGACAAACTTCCCGATTCCAGCACCAACAACTTTTTAAAGGATTTTTCAATGGATTCTCCACGGAGAAATTTCCTGACTAGGCGGGCAGTCTGAAATTTCCATTCCCAGATGTGACTGGTTCGTGTGTAGCATGGACGAAAGTTGTAACCAATGGCGAACATGCTTCCAAATGGTTCCACAGATAATCTTCCCAGAATGAAGAGATGGGTGCAACTGATGCACGATTGAAGCTTACTCTTTTCAGACGATTTTTCAAACAATATTAAAAAATCTCAGAATGCCAGAAAAGCAATATACAGTACAGTATAACCGATTATATGCAAGTCTGATGTGAATTTTTTTCCGGTCATTAATTTTTAAAATCTCGCTAGAACTAATTATTCAGTATAACAAACTTTTTCTGAAGTCTCCAAAAGCTTGTTGTAACGGAGATTTTGCTGTTGCACGAAAAAAGGTCTACAAAGAATAGACAAGACTGCAATACTCACGAACGCCGAGCAAGTGGTCGAGTGGGATCTCATTGATCGACTGTCCATTCTTGCTGAAGTGTCGGGCTGCGTCCAGATGAGTGCCCAGATGCTCCCCCATGCAGAATGACCTATACTCTATGTATGGCGAGTTTAGGACACGGGTGAGCGTGTAGTTCAGCGGCTTGGACGTCGGCCAATGCGGTATAGTTGGTGACAGGGGATGCGACAGGTCAATCCAGTTCGCCACATTCCGGGACGCATAACTCACTACAATGTTCTCTGTGGCGCCATGCTGCGGTGTGTAACCCAAATCAGCTCCGTCTTCCTGCGGGCAAAATAAAATTATCACAGGATGATTGCATTTCCTTTCTCGGAAACTCCATGCAAATCGAATTTAAACGAAAAACAAGGAGATACGTGAAGTGATGTGTCATGGATGTGCATCAGTTCAAGTGGAACCTCAATAAATGGCGTGAACAACTTCGGGTGATCAGTTCCTTGCGTGAGATTTCAGGGAAACTTTCCCATTTGAACACAGAAATATTCAAGGCTGTCTACAAGTGAAGATGTCAACAATAAAACGAACACGTACGTCTTACGCTCAAAACGAATGTTGCTTGAATTCTGTGACCCCTTCGCAATAAATCAACTAGCCTTGAAACCTTTCCAGAACAATTCACGGAGGAGTCCTGTACAGAAATCTGAAGACAAACTTGCCATCAGAACTATTCATTTTTTTTTTTAATTTCCAGTCAACTTTGTTGAAAAGAAAAGGAATGCGAATCTTGAGTCAACAAAAATAGCAATGAAGCTCGACATCAATTTTCTTTAAGGTTTAACGTTTAAGGGCAGTCCTAAATTCCTTGTTTGAATCGAGAGTAGAATGAAAACTTGAAAATCTAATCAATACTTCGAATGGTCACAGAAATTTTTTTTTTTAAATCGCAATTAATTGACCATTTCTAAAAATAAAAACCGTTTAATATGTACCATAAACACATTGAAAAATTTCAACGGACGCACAAAATGAAGTCTAAATTAGTACAATTTGAATATATGATGACGTTTGCTAAAATACATCGAACACAGAAAATCCTTTCTTACTTTCAAGACGAAGGCAGCAATTCGGACAGGACCACCTGACCCTTCAGCCAGCTTCAATGGCGCAATGAACACGTCAAACTGAGTTGCCGGTAGACGACTGAGGTTTGCCACCATCTCAAGCCCATACACATTCTTATCATAAAGAATAATATGACTCCGATACTGTGTTTCTTGACCACGGTCAATGGATGGCGTGTCAGTGCCCACGGCCACAATTGACCTAACAAGGAAAATCAAAGCTTCTGATAAGTCTAGAACTTGGCTGAGAAGTGGAAGGCAGAATTTGTGCTGCCTTTCGAATCCGACATCGAGGTCACTACGAAGAGGTGCATTGAATGTTGATAAAAATGTATCCTCAAGTAAGAAAACCACCCCTCTTTAGAGTCGGAGAATCAAAATATTTTGAAAATTCACCAGAATTTAAATTTTGACTTCAATTGCACTCAAATTGAATTTTATATTTTCCATCACTTCCATTTTTTGATTGTCTGTAGATGGGTTGAAAACCAATAAAAGGAATCAAGTATGCGGTGCACCAAAGCTTTAAATTGTCTATAATTTTATACCCCAATTACGAGTACCATCTTTTTGATTTCCAAATTTCTTTCTTCTGGGAAAAAATGTGCACACAGTACTTGAGTAAATACCGCACTTTTGAAATACAGTATTTCAGTTTTAGAGTAACTCTAAATTGGTATGTGCGTATTACACAGGGATTACTTATAAGAATTTTAGACTGAAAAACCCCCGTGCATACCACTCACTTTAGGATGCATGGTACTCAAGTAAATACTGTGATTACTTATTCATTTGCACTGTCCAATGGATAAGAAATGAGCCACGCCATATTAATTTAGCAGACAACACAAGTAACTTCTATATCATGAATGCACACGTTCAATGGGTACCTGTCAGACACAAGCCACGTTGCCGCATCCGGATCTAATCCAGGGAACTTGAACGTGGTGTTGTCTGCCGGGTTTGGTGTGTTGAACATGTCAACTACACTTGGCCAGCGTCGTTCCCAATCGAAGTATAACAGCACAACCGCGTTGAGCGGGATGCGGCCGTGTACTTTCTCCCACTCGATTATCCTCTCCTTGCTCACAGCATAGTTGTTATCTGCATTTGCTTCAACTGAGAAGTCCAGCTTCACGCCTATCCATGATCGAATGTCCAAAGATAGTACATTTTCATGCCCATTGAAATGAAAAAGACTTACCAGGTGCAACAAGGTGGCTAAGGGGAATATTACCCGCAGTCCAGCGGTCCTTGGCAAAGTGACTTGGTGCATCCACGTGGGTACCGAGGTGCTCGGGTGAGCAAACTGTGTTGGATTCGGTCCTGAAAAATGTTCATGCTACATCAGCTCGCCTCTCACAACAAAATCATTCAGAAATCAAAGCTTCTCAGCGACTGTGATGAACATCATGCGTGCAACACTCAAGAAATTCCAACAATGGTGCTTGAACATGTATCGCATGCATCACACGCAAGGTTAAAGACGCTCGCATACATTTTTCAAACTTAAGTCTTGATAGATTTACAGGACATCCTCCAGATGGACACATAATTGGTTCTTGAACCTTGTCCGTAGGCTGGAAAATCTGCATGTTGGATCACGTTTTTCTGTAGACTTCCAAGGTAACATAATCGTTAGGTTCTCCTGTTGATCGAAAATGGAAAGAACTCCAAGAAGCGAAGCAAAAATTCACCTTTTTGTAATATATTTGAGACTAAGTTTATAATACGATTTTTTCAATTTTTGTGAAGCTGAATTTGTAATGTGCTGAAGAAATATCCAAATTTATAAAAATTGAAACAATTTATGGTAATTTAGGCATTGCCTGTAGATATCATCTGGATGTTGGGGCAGATTTATTTATTTTGAGTGTCCTTAAGCCGATTTTTTCGTATGCTTGAGTGTCCGCATCTCAGGGTTCCATCATACAGTAATGATTTTATATTTAAAATTCCATGTATGATATGCTCCAAGTGCAACAATAGTCAAATTAGAAGATAAGCAAATACGATTCAACTTTTCCAATATATAGAGCATTAACGTTGAGATGCAGAAAACAGTAATTAATTACCAGAATTGATCATCGCCAACACTCAAGAAATCCTTGATTTCGCTCACAAGCCGGAAGTCCTGGAAGTCTGCATCTGGCCAATGGACACTGTCCGCACCAAAATCGTAGGTAAGGTCAACCCAGTTACCAAGTGCGGCCAGTGGGTGCGGCGCATGGTGTGCCAGTACCAACACAGCATCCAGCACTAATGCCAACGCCAATACCAACCACGAAGGCATTTCAAAAATATGCACCACAACACTGCCTCACTCAGCAAGTGTCATTCCTCGACGTGGTTTTAATACTGTCAACCCGTTTCTGAATCCATTAATTGATCAAGAGTTCGTTGATGCAACCCTACATGCAGTACACAGTTCTAAACACTGACAGCATCACATTCTTGATCATTTCTGTCAGCAAAATAATTAAGACATAGCACTGAAATATTATCGATTTGGGCATGAGTTACTTTGCAACTGAAGACCCAAGAATCAAGTTTGATTCGAATCAATCATCAAACTACGCCCACCTGTCGTTTTTTTTTGCGAACAGGAATTCACGCGGAAAAATGTCCTTTTCAAATCATTTCACGTGGACGCGTACCAATAAGATAAAAAATATGTACTAGAACAGAAGAAAAATGTTATTTCACGACTGCGTAATCGTCAGGATCTAACTCCGAAAACAGAATTTTTTTTAATCTCTAACGTATAATACGATGTTGTCTCCATGCTTATGCTGGAATGCCTCAATGAATCACAAGAGATTCTAGGAAAGGTCGCAAATTTTCCCCAAACATTCCCTTCATGAAGCACCACATTTTCTCCTCTCCTTTATGTTTGTATTTTCTCTGTAGATTACTCATAACCGAATAAAAATGCCGGACTTGGAGAGAAAGTAATGCAATAATTGAATTACATTTTGTTCTTCGATAACTTGAATTAAACTTCCGTCTCACAGAAATCTTGTAATATCCACAATTTATGTACAGTACAGCACTGAAGGTAATCTGTGGTACGTGAGAAACAGGTAATGAGGATATTGCATAAATGTATGCAGAATCTGCATAATTCAGTTTGCAGTCGCTTAATCCGCACAGTGTTGACGACCAAAGAAACCACAGCAAACTCAAAAAGCTCGAAGCAAAATTCAAAGAATCCCCTAAAAAGCGATCCGCAATGGATTCCTAGGAACACAAATTACTTTAAAGGCTTCATCCACTTTGAATAAGAACAAGCCAAAACAAGAAAAGCAAAACATACAGTCATGCAACAACAAGAAATTCGTACCAACACGCACACATCTGGATTTGCGAGAATCAGCATCGATTCAAAGTCAAACACACCGTTGGTGGGAAGCATTCTGCTCACAGGTTCCGAACAATCACACTCGAATTACATGTACCAGCTAAAAACTACTGCACTAGCACACGAACTACAAAGCCGAACAAAGAACTACCGTAAACATAAGCAGCCATTCACAACTAAATTTTAAATGCACGTCAGCTTCACTTGACGATTAAACGAACTTAACTACGTACACAACAGTAACAAGCAAAAAGGCTTTTTAATAAATAATTTTGAAACATGGTTTCTCAAGAACAAAACTTTTTACAGTGTGTAATCAGCTCATTTTTCAGTTTGCATAGTGTCACTTAGAAGGAGCAACATTAAAAAAGTATCGGTAAATAGTCTCCGCATTAAGAATTAGAAAAATTCAGGATAGCTTAATCTTCGCCTCAGAAGCCTTTTTTGTCGGCGGAGGACTTTCTTCCGCATGACGGCAGTTTTTCTACAACAGATAAACACGTGAACGCTGATCAGCTGATTGCATGGAGATGAACCGCCGGAAATGCCATAAAACATCTCTTGTCAAACGGACGATTCGAACTATCATGATGTCTTCCAATTTGACAGCCTGGGAAAAAAACCCTTTGATAAATACTGCAACCTACCCGCAAGTTTCATCTCCTTATCAAGACTCAGGACAGGTCAAATTCAGTTCATACCAGTTTCAATTGCGGAAACACTCATCGACTCGGAGAAACAGCAACGCAATTTCTTCGGCTCAGTACATTCAACTAGATAAAAAAATCTCAGTCATGAGTTTTTCATGTCACGGAATCAACCTTCAAAACTCACGGAGTTCCCCATTCCTAGATCTGCAATTCTCTGATCATGTCAAATATAAGATCCTCACTTCGTGATAATCATGATTTTACTTTGCGCGCAATCCCTCCCCGTCATGAATTCGCTGAAAATTTCAAAATATAGAACCCAACAGAATTAACCACAAAAACGCGTACAGATATTAAGAACTAATGTTCAAGAATCTACACACCATTGCTCCATCAACGCATCTTTCGGGGGAAATTCAGAAGTTGAGCCAAGTTGGACGGAGATGCATGGCTTGCACAAAATGGGTTCCACATGAACCGAACTTGCGAAGCATCGTTCTGAACTTCTGTCTGTCAACGAACCATTCAGTTGGGTTTAAGCTTTGTCCTGAACTTTCCAAGTGCTGCGATGGATATTCCGATTTCATGCTTCACACTCACGATCTCCGACAAAATTCGCGACGAACTTACACGTTCGAATGTCAATTCACCCTTCGGCGGTATACCAACGACAAAAATCTCTTAGCACAGCTTTACTTCCAGCAGATTCATCACACAATTCCTACGGCTATGTACCATCACACGAGGCAATGAGAACTTGAACGTGGATAATAATTCAGCCTCAGGCAAAACAGCTTAGACAGCCCAGACTCACACACAGTAACAATCCATCTGATTACAATGCACGTTCGGGTCGGATCTCATACGAATCCCAGATCACGCAGAACTCGCGACCGAGACTAGCTTCAACATTCACCAACTCGATATCCGTTCTAAAAGAGTGAGGTAAATCATTTACACCTCTTCCCCAAAGGGTGCGCCACTGTCACTACGTCCTACTGCAAGGATTGTCCCAGCAACAAAATAATCCAACAGAAATCAACAGGGTGAAACAAAACAAAAAATCTACACGAACTGCTTGATGCATCACTGACACTGCCTCACCACCTTCTGACAAAAGTTGCAATGCATTAAGTAACACATGAGTTCACATCTGCCACATCTCTAATACAGGACATGATTTCTGAACAACTTTGATTTATTCTCACGATGTCTGCTGGAATAATCCCACAATTGCATCACTACCATTATTATATGAAATTGTGTAACCAGAACCCAGTTCCCTTTGATGCATCAAGTTGCAAAGTTCAATAGAAAATTGCCTCAAGATGCTTCCAGGGAATCCTACTGGTGTATGATGTGAGCATCACGAGCAGGTACCAGGAGAAAATAAGAACTTGGAATGAGGCAATAATTACTTACTGCAGGGTGCGGCTCACGAAAAGAGGTAAACCGGAACGAAGAATTAGAAATTCACATTCGCCTTTCTTCCCACTTTAAAGTATCGGAATCGGGAATTAAGTGGAGCCCAGCATGAAACAGAAGTACTCAAAAATAAATGTTTCTTTTTATGACAGCAACCTTTTTGTGCTTGCATGTTTTCTGATACATTTGTGCATGGTCATAATACAGTATACAACTTCATTAAAAACTCGTCAAACGAACTCAATTAATTGACAGCTAAAATCCTTCAATAGCAATCATTTAATTGGGTGGTGTTGCTTTTTGCCGGAGCATAACTTCTCACCCACAGAACTCAAGTGTCTACCCCACTGCACTCCCCATCCCCTCACTCCCTATTCTCATCACTCTCTCCTTCACGCACACAAGTGATGTGGGTGCGACAGAGGCTTCCCTGTCCCTTCCTGAATGGAGAAATTGTTCGCCGCTAGATGTCGCGCTAAGAGTTAAGGGAATGCCCTATTATACCGAGCAGGCATACAGCAGCTAGTGCAGTACATTTAACTAAGTTCCGAGAAGGTCTTCGACAACCTGTCACGATACAGCTTCTATTCTCACAACCACACAAAGTCACAACCAAAAGGACAACATAAAAGAGTAGTTGATTCTCAATGGTTCTGAACTGAATGTCATATCACCATCCTTCGTATCCACAGCCCCACTTCAGATCATCCGGGTTCCTGGATACTTTGGATTGGCTGAGTAAACGTAATTTAGCTCGTATTTATCCGTTTATATGTCGCTGTAAAGAACTCCCTTACTATTTTGAAGCACCTCAGCCAAGCTCTGTGAAAAGTTTGCTCGAATCTGCTGCTACTTTGATGGACGCCCTCACGAATCTCAGTGCTGCAAGGTGATCGAGCCGAATGAAGCTTTCGATCTATTTTTGGTAGAATTACGAGATGGAAGGTGTCGTAGACACAACGGGAAGGTTAGAAATCGTATTTTATTCCTGATACGTATGCGTCCCGGCTATTTTTCTCAACTACGAAGCGGCTAGGCATCTCAATCTGTTCGCATCGCTTAACTTCACTCGGAACGGACGGTTCCCGCCCGTTTTTATCAAGAGAAAAGCCTATGCTTGCGTGGGTGAAATTTGCGAGGGCATACTCTCTTATGTGATGCAATTTGGTTGGATTGATGCATCAAGAGGAAAAAACTCTCCGCTTCCTAGATGAAACCTCCCAGTTACAAATTTGTTCTTGCATGCGAGAAGTGCGTTGTCGTATGGAACTAAGTATCGCGAGCAGGTGTGTGCTGAACCCCTTCTTTTTCACATTTCGTCACCGATATTTTGAAGTCGAATCTTGATTTTTAAGCAGACACATGGTGTGTTTCTGCATTCATGTGATTACCGTAGTTGTTGATCGAGATTAGTTCAAGGATTGTGCGACTGAATAATCTTTTCTTCGTTTGTCTGGGTCCTTGTTCTTCCAGAATCTCGTCGTTTTGTGTTACGTAAGTGATCAATCTTGCCGATCTTCCATCGTGTAAACGGAAATACTGCCTCAATCGTGGTCTGGCAGGAGTGTTGTTAAGAAGTTACCGAACACTGTTGCAGGCGTATCTGTGACAGTGACATTTCTTGCCGTGGATACGTACAAGTCGAAAATGGCAACCGCAGCCGCGCTGCTTACGGGAAGCCGGCTGATCGCCAATTTCACTGGTGTGCCGATCTCAGCGAACGTCAGCACAACTGCGATTCCGCTTCTTGGTGTCCAAGGAGCACACCATGAAATGGTGAGATATTTTACTTCATTTTCGGCACACGTTTGTTCGTTGAGCTGCTGATCGCTCAGCATTGACTCTTCGCGAAATTATACCTCGTCAAATTAAGCGAGTCGAATTTACTTCAATCGTGTGAATTCGTGCGCATAGATGGACTGCGATAAAACGAATTTCAACGCGTCTATTGTTACCGTTTGTGACAGTCGCGAGCGTGGTGTGCGAGTAATTTTAAGTCCTACGGAAAGTTCTGTGTATCCCGCGAGGAAACCCAGAAAATTCGTGCTGATGCGACGCGTAATTCGCACGAGTCACCTCTTCTCTTTAAATGCGTCTGAAATCAATCAGAGAAGAGACATTTTATTTGTGGAACGCTTTCCTCTTGTCTGGTCAACTAGAACCAGCCTCGCATACTGATGGGTTCAGGGATCGAAGGTCAATGTCAGACGCACCATTCTTTAACCTCATCCCCACCACCGCATATATTTTGGGTTTCTGTGATGCAACACTGCTGTTGATCGGGAAGCATTTCTCTTACTCGAGTTGAGTTAAGTTCTGGGATATAGTTCATGGCTTGTTTAAATTACTGTAGAACTAAGCTATTTTAAGGAGTTGCGGGTATATACTTGGTTTCAAAGTTGGACCGTGAGTTTGATGTCTTGAGTTTGATTTCGCGGTTCTCTGTGGCCTTTTTCCACATTCACTGATTCCCCCCCCCCCCCCCCCCCCCCCCCCCCCCCCCCCCCCCCCCCCCNTTCCTTGTTCCCCCCCCCCCCCCCCGGCTGCTCAGGCTGTTGATTGCTGCTCAGACTTGAGCCAGAGGAAACGAAGGTTTGCTGCTAAATTTTGGTTACTTGCTTGCAAGTCTGCCTGGAGACGATCAAATTGTTCATGTGAAGTACTTTAAGGGATTTATTTGTATGCTAGGGGTCCCAGCATAACGAAACTAATCCGTTCCTGCATGAATTTTGTTATGCTTAATTCTCGTTGTGTGGATCGCGTTATCTCTTGATTACATCACGCACCAAGAGAGCGTAATAACCCGTACAATTTGTGTATTTTTGATTTTTCAGCAGAAAAATAAAAAATACACAATTTCAAGTTACAAGTTTTTTTTAAGCGTAAAATGTTGAAGTAATATTGGCAACTCTTGCTTGCAACTTCCTGAATCTCTCAATCGTAAAGACAAGAAGATGTGCAACAAATGCGTTCTTTTGCTTGATTTTATTAAAAATTCTCAAGTTTCATTTTACCTCTTGACATTTGTACATTTTTGGTGCAAAAATTTCGTAATTATTAAAACCCGTACAGTACTTGCAAAATTTGGAACATGACTTCAGGCTAGCTGTATGTTCTATCCAGAAGTCATGCATTTTCAAGGAGATTTTACAGGATTGATTTTGGAATAGGCATGCGCAGGCCCATCCACAGGACCCTGTACGTGTCTGCAAACTGCAATCAAGTTTAAATCTATTTTTCTGTTTGAATGTACACGTGGCTAGTGGCGTGCCAATGCTGTGAAAACTTTGAAATCATCTCTCAATCTCCAACGAGAAAATAGTACTGTAGTTTCCATCAAAGATACGCAGAATTTTAACCGGAGAGTTGAATCCTGTCGTCGAAAAAGTTTTCATTTCTCTCTTCGCCACCTCATAGAAACGTCGCAGGAAACTTTGAAAATTTTAAACACTTTCTGAAACACTGTAAAATCTATAATGGTCAACTTTTTTTTAGCTGGATCTTAGCCAGTCATTCGCCGCCAAGTTTTTAAGAAAGTTTGTGGAAAAGTAGAGCATTTGTAATTATTTTAAGGAAGCGTTCAAGTGAAGAAATAATTATAGTAGATTAAAAAATTAATCTAAAAAACCNAAGATTGCATTGTCATCAGTTTCTAGGCTATCCTGAAAGTTTCAGCTTGCTAGCTAGTCTGGAAGTGAGTGAAATTTGAGTTTCAAAATTTGATCCGGACAAACAGACAGACAGACAGACAAGAAAAGTGAGTTCATAAAAACGTGGTAAAAATATCGTGCTTTTCCGTGATTTTCAGAATACAAACACAAGCATTAAAGAATTTATGTATTTTTTGAGACGGCATTCGCATGAACTCCCGTAACCACCGTGAGGAAGGACAGTGGCACATTTTTTCCGGGGGTTATGTGCATGTGTGATCTAAATGCTCGTGGAGGTGCACTTGAAATCATAGTAAGTTCAATTATTCTGTAGGTTATGGAATGAACAATTTATGATCCTGTGTACCGCAGCTTTAAAATTGGCCCGTTACTTGCTGGTCCTTAGCACAACCTTAGTCAGATTGATCCTTTTTGTAGTTTGATTAAATTTATTACAGTATTTGATTCTTGTGAGGAAAAAACTGTCCAGAATATTTGCCTGAATGCTGAAAGTTTGTTTGATGGAAATATGCTGAATGATGTTATGCAAAACCGCGGAACGTCCCACTGAAAGAGGCTACCGTGTCAAAGCACTTTATATTTGACAGCACAGTTATTTAATTTGAGTTCTTCCCCCAATTAAGACAAGGCTGGTGGAATGTTGTGAACTTCTAGAAATAAAAAAAGAGAGAGTTTATTCTGTATATTTATTGTATCTTAAGTGACACAGGCCAGTAGACACAAGGGGCGCTATGAGTTGTTGCTTCATGCAGTTCCTGTGGGATATTGGTGCTTGCCCTTGGGCGGAATTTACCTCATTGCTTGGTCCCTCATCCACGGGATGAGACGCTCGGCGCTCCGACCTTTGGCACTTCTGGTTTCCCCGTGCTTCGCAACGCCTTTTGCGGGATCCGCGATGTGAAACTAGCGTTGCGGGTAATGTTGCCTTGCAGTGCGCCATTCTGTCCATTCGAGGTGTTGGTTGGTAAAAGAAAAAAAAAACGCTTTTTTCTCTCGTTAAAATTTGGCTTTGACGGAGGAAGTAGTATGTGCAAACCCTTTTTCCCTGGTGGCGATTGGGTACGGTTGGAGACTTGGAGTGCCATTATTTCCCCGCGCAGTTGGGATGGAAGTGTACCACGCGTTTTTGTTTCTTCAACTGTACTGTATGATGACGAATTTAATTCTCATTTCCACACTTCTTGGCGTATTTGCTTGGTTTTTGACATGTACTTGGTTTTTGTTGAATACATTTTAAACTCTGTTGGTTGAACAATTGAAAAATATAAAAATTTTCGTATCGACTCGTGAATTGTCTTTTGAAAATTACGAATCACCATTTCTGAAACATAATTGTATTTTCTGAGTACTGTAATTCAGAGCGTCAATGGAGCTTTACATTAATTTTTGAGCCGCGTGGTTGGTGGAGACCTTTCGAGAAATCATGAAAAATTATGACCTCCTAAATCAAGCTTAATGGGGCATCGCATTAGCCCTTTTGAGGATTTCTACCGTCATCCATTGTGCCACATTCAACCTTAGAGCAACTATGTCAAGTGATGAATGCGAGAAACAATCCAGCTGATCGATCAGATTGTAGGTGGTCTGATCGTGTAAAGACTGTAAACTGCCATTTTTTGCTTGAAATATCAACTACATTAGTTTGAACTGGTTGTGCAATTCAGGCACACCTTCATGATACGGGGCTTTGCAAAATTACAATGGATTATATTCTGAAAGATTTATCAGAATTCATTCGTAATCACTGTCGAGTTTGCATTTTTAATTTCTGGATCATGTCGACTTTTTAATATTATGGTTGAAGTTTCCATTAGAGTTCTGAAGCTTCTAAATTGAAAATATATACAGGAAACTCAGTTTGATTCAAATGCTTACTATGTTTATATTGGCTGTTCTTTGCATGAGTGTCGGTTCAATACAGCGTTCAAAATGTTGTAGAAATTATTTTTCACATGTGAGGGAGAATTGCTCGTGTTTGATAGTTAGCGTTCATTTTTATTCTTTTTTTTCCTTTTTAATGACTAGATAAGTGGGGAGTGCGCCTTTGAAAAATTGATTGCTAATTTTTTTTTGCTAAAATGGATCAGTTGATGAAATGTCCTCCGTTTAGTTAAATGCTCTCAGGTTTGTTTTGGCTGTACTGTAATCGATATCTTATGTTTTTAGGAATCATTTTTTCCCTGGAGACACACAAAGTGAAGAATTCACTCGGTCAGATACCACTCCCTCAAAGAAGGCTTGTTTTTTGTTCCAAGATAAATTCTTCTGTTGTCTTATGTGAAATAAATTTCAACGTTACGAGCAGTGCGTCATGCAGCTTGGTCGTGACATTTCCTTAGGGATCTCCGATTCCCCAGTCAGACGGTTGGTTTATGGTGATTTGTTTTAGAGATAAGTGGAATTCTTTGCTGTGATTTTTACGTTGAAATGGTTTTAAGATAAAGTGAAAGAGGGGAAGGAATTCCAGACACCCAAAAATTAAAAAAGGGAGATGGAAGGGACCTTGAAAATTTTAGTATTTCATGAAAACTTGGAACTCGTTCCAGCGCATTCTCTTTCATTGCTTTGTCGCGGTGTTTTTTTTTTTTTTTTGGGGGGGGGGGGGGGGGGGGGGGGTAAAGTATTCATAGAAAATATTAAATAAATAATGAGGATATCAGGTCATAGAACCCTATTGTAGAATTTAAAAATATGTGAAGCAAGAAAAATTCATCCATAATGTATGTTTAGTAAAATGATAGAGTCATGAAAAGAGCAAAAAAAAAAGAAAAAGTGTTCTGGAAAAAATTTGTCACAACCTGGGGATTGAACCGGGACCCTCTGGAGTGAAAGAACCCTTTTTTCTTCACACCCTGGGATGCTCAGGTTTCTACTGCCTGAGCTCCCCAGGAAGACTGACCCTCCCAGGAGGGAGAGTTAGGGGGCGGGGCTTGTGGGCGTCTGGGGGGTGGGTGCCCGCGCCTGTGCGTTTTGGCGGGAAAGTTCTTGGTGGGCAGAAACTTTTTGAAAAAGTTCCGATTTTTTATTTTTAACTTTTTTAATTATTAATATTTTCAGACCAAAAAAATATGAAAATTTAGAGAACTTCTGGGCGCATATTAGGTAAAAAAAATTACAAAATTCTGCCCAATGAAAAATTTATAAACGATTTTCAAAGTCAAAACCGAGCATTTTCTGGGAATGGAACACTGGTCTCTTGAAGGCGGGGCAGGGTAAATTAAAAAAACGATGCTCACACACTCACCTACTGAGATAAGTAACTTTATTAGTAAAGACAAGCTGGGGGTGCCCAGCCACACCTGGGCATCATGTTCAGAATTTTACAGAGAATTTAAAAATTCAATCATTTATTAGCTAATCAATATTTCAGTGTGGTATGCTCAAAATGAAGAGTGTTATGTAGTGCAAACCTTGGCAAAATCAGGTGAACTTTTACATTTCTCCCCCCCCCCATTCCCCAATTGTTCAATCATATCACACATTCAAGATTCAACAGTAGATGTTCAAATTTTACAAATATTGTATTTAAAAGAAGTTCATATATGATCAAGAAAAGGTCACAGACTCAAGGATCAGTTGTCCTCAATGAACCACTGGTGTCCCTTTGGGTCACAACTCACATGTAAACAGGTCCTTTTTATTATCTATTATGAACTCCAGGTCCAGTGTTTAATGGCCTTCTCCCCCTCCAGAAAATAAAATGCCTATTTTATTTTTATGGACCCCACCTGACATATTCTAAGTTTTCATCAGCCAAACCTGGTCAGTATTCACAAAAAAAAACTATGGGAATGTTTGTCATGCATCAGTTTTTGAGCTATATACTCTACCAGGAGCATTTTGGTCTCCAAATCACACATTCCAAAAATTGACAGACAATTTTATTTTAAACCTTTCACATTTTATATTTAACGTGTCAAAAATACCCACTATAGTGTTTACGTCCTCTTAAAAAGTTTTAAAATATCTGTAATCGAAAACGTAAGTATCTGGTGGAGGTGTGTGGTATTATTATATGAGCATCATCTATGTACCATTCATTTGATGAGCATTGCTTCAATCCATGTACAGTACTTGTCTTCATTGATAATATACCATTGTCAAAAATTTCATTGTTATGCACTTATGCATTATGTGGCCAAAGGTCCTCCTTCCCCATGGGCTTGCAATGCCCTGAGAACCTAAAAAACAATAAAGGATCACTTCATTCTTAACATAATATTTGTTCAGTGAATACTGCTCAAGCTAAATTCATAACTTTCCAAATCTCCCACACTTTGACTCTGGGATCTCTTGGGTGGCTGGGATGAGGCCCTCTCTGCAGCCACCTTACTCCAGAATTGAGACCCATCTCAGATTAGCTTGAAGAAATTAGGAGTATATCCATTTTTCTTTGATTTGAAAACCCACATTGAAACTCACAACTTTGCTGGAGCCCTGTACTGTTTAGCTGGAAAATCTCTGTTGAATGTTGGTTTCATGGGGTAGGTCCCCTTTTATAGATTTTTTATGGGATTTATTATTAATTTTCTACAAAATTTTTGAATTGGTGTTTGTAACTTTTAAATATTTTTCAGGTTTTAAAAATCAACATTTTATTACGCTTTTGTGCTTATCTGCTCACATGAAAAATGAAAGTTTGGTAAATTTAAAATATTGAATAAAATTGTAAATGTAAGAAAAATAAAAGCTAAAATAAAAACATAAAAATTTGCTGATTTTGTAAGTTTTTCCAAAATGTTTTAGTATTTTTGCTTGCAATCCAATAAAATATGAAGATATTTCAATGTTCAAAGCAAAAAATTAAGAGAACATCATTGCACATGAAACTTTGCAAACAATTGTAAAATTGATTAAAAATTCAATTTTGAACAAATTTGTAAAGTTGGCAAAATGGAAAGTGAAGCATTTATGGGAACTTACTTTTCTCTTTAGCTCATTGTAACTTTTTAGATTTTCATGCAATTTCAAACTTTTTAGCAGGATTATATGCGCAGAAATGTTTTACAATTTTGCAAATTTTTGTATTTGACAAATGTTGAAAATTGACTGAGATAAAATTCAAAACATAAAATATTTTTTTCCTAATTTTCCTGGAATTTTCAAAAAAGTTTTACGCAAAAAGTAAAATAAAGTCAGTTAAAAGTTTAAAAAAGTTTTTATTTTTACTCTTTTACACCTTTTGTGGTACCACGACGACTACTACAAAATTTTTAATTCAATAAAACTCTTAACTTAAAAACCCAAATTTTTTAAGTTGGCAAAATGGGAAACAGAATTTTCAAAAATGTCCGTTTTTTTGTGTTTAGCTCATGATAACTTTTGTTTCACTAATTCAATGGTAATCATAATTTAGGACTGAATGCGCATGGATGTTTTGCTAATTTATGTATTTTTTTGATGGATCAAAATGAAAAATTTGAAAAGCTAAAATTACAAATGTGAAAGTGTTTTTTTTACGATTTATCCCCGTTTTTGAAAAATGTTTTGCGCTTTTCACTGTAACTTTGTGAATTTTCAAGCTTTTTCAAACTTTAAAGAAAGGAAATGTAGGAAACATCATGGCACTGCTTATAATGTTTTTAAAATGAACTTTGCTATAAAATTGAATTTTTGCCAAATTTTGAAAGGCAAGACAACGGGAAACGGGACCCTCCGGCAGGCCTCTGTGGGGGCTCTGTGGGAGGGAGTTTGGATTTTGTAAAAGGTCCTATGGAAAAAGTAAGAGAGTGGTAGTCCCACACACCGCCGTTTGCAAGTAACTTTATTAGGTAAGATTCTGTGAAATATCCCTTTAAACTAGGAATTCCTTAAAGGAATTCCCGGTCCTGTCCCGGACTGATTATTTTGTTCCATTTATCAACACTTGACATCAAATTATATCGTTGACATTTCGTCCTC